TCGGCCCTCTACCGGCAGCTCTAGGAAACTTACGTTTTGCCATAGTAGCACCGGAATACTTCACAAAGTGGATTGAAGCCAAAGCCCTAGCAAAAATCACCTCAGGCATCCTGATCAGCTTCGTTTGGCAAAGGATCATATGCCGTTTCGGCGTACCAGCATATATTATAGTGGATAACGAAAAGCAGTTCGACTGTACACAATTCAAAAACTTCTGCAGCAAGCTGGGGATCAAGCTAGACTTCGCATCAGTCAATCACCCCAAAAGCAACGAGGCAGTATCAAAGGCACTATTTGACTCAGTGAAAGGAAAATGGGCGTAAGAGCTAGTCAGCTCGGTCTGGGCGCATAATATCTCATGAACTAGAACCACAGGGTTCACGCTTTTTGCTTGCTGTATGGCGAGGAGGCAATCACCCTAGAAGAACTCAAGATGGGATCATTTTGAACAGAAATAGCTGCAACAACACCCATATAGCGGTATGTTGAGCTCAAAGCGGCAGAGAACATCATGCTACAAGTAGCGGAAAACCTAGACAAATACCACCAAGAGACGAAAACTTGGAGAGACAAGAAAGTCTTGCGAAAGAACATCAATCCTGGAGACATGGTAATCATTCGCCACCCCGACAAGCAAGGCAAATTGCAGTCCCAATGGTATGGCCCTTTCGTCGTGGCAAGCATGGTCAAACCAGGAGTATATAGATTGCTAAACGAAGAAGGGGTCGAGACAAGTCACACATGGAACGCAGACAATCTGTGTCGCTTCTATCCCTAGCACGTAGCACTCATGCGATCGCCCCACGTGGGTTGTAATTTTCCTCTCATTATGTAACTTTTACCTAAGAAGGGGGTTCGCGCTCTTTTTCCTCACAGGGTATCCTTTGCAAAAATGTGTGATGTTTTTTAACGAGGTGAACCTCTATACCCCTCAGACAAATTAAATTCGCTCCTTTTCCCCCACCTCGAATTGACATCACGTCGAAACAAGACCCACTAACGTAAGGTGTTGACTATCGATGAAACTATCTGCAAAACAAGGTTGCACCATTCAACTACCGCGAAGATAGAGCGTCAGCGAATTTAGCAACCTCAAACACTTCGACTCCCCAAAAATGCGAGAGAACAAAGAAAACAAGCCCAAGGGCCCGGTAAATGTTTCGTCGCTCCAATAAAGTGAGGACGAACAACCTAAGCCACGAGCTATTATGACTATTCGCCTCTTAGAAAAATACAAGAGAGCGAAGTCAAATGAAAACCATAAAAGCACCAATACCCGAAAAAACAATCAGCTAGCCCAGAGGCTCATTGAACATTTTGCCTTGACAAAAGCACAACGAGAATACACAAAAATCAACCCGCGCAAATGACGCAATCAGATCACCCCGCCATCAAGCGCACCAAGAAAAACCAGAAGCCAAAAGACAATTAAACCGAACAAAGGACTTGCCGTACCACAAAAGCACAGATCCGTATTGAAGCGCAACACCAAACTCATGCAGTAAATATAGCAACCTACTGCAACAACCAAAATTAACAATCCCAAGCTCTCAAAACCCTATAAATGAGATGCCCGGGGCTCTACAGATACCAGGTCAAGTTTTCAACTTTAAGCCAAAACACTAGGATAGCCACCAACAGCCCTTAGAGCGGGTGCAAGAGCGCATCAGGGGTTTCGCACATGGGGATAGCAAGTGGGCTCGAGAGTGCATCAAGGGTCTCGGCTTTCGCCGGCAGAGCGAGGACACTCGCATGGGATAAAATGTTGTATAGGCACAAGGAAATCAATAGCGAAGTGTAGATGTCATGAGAAAATACAAAAAGCCCAAGCCACATACTGTCCAAAAGTTGCAAGGGCTCGGTTATTGCTACATGTAGAGTTGGAGGATGGCTCAACAGGATGAGGATGTGTCACCACGACAAGCAGGAATGGAGGGATGTCACAAGAAAAAATGTAACATCCCTCCATTAGGAGAAATCACACCAAAAAACTCGGCGTCTCCAAGAGTCTGCATCCTTGCAGCAGCTGTGAGCAGGGAAGAGCGACACCACAGCGCTGCACATCAATTTAGCTAATTCACCTAGCAATTTTGCTAATTCGCTCGAATGAATCAATCAAACAAGCAAGATGTTGAGAACCAAGAAGCAGAAGGAAAGATTCCGATTGTGCATATCTACCAACACACTCGGCTCCTACCATAAATATAAAAAGACCTTTTTGATATTTCGAATATGGAAAAAACAATAATTTAGTATCGGCTCAGGAAACCCTCACCCTGTAAGGTTGGGGGGATATTGTCTTTTCATTAAGAAACGCGCCGAGGGGCTGGCACAGAAGTCTCTCGCGTGCTCGCCTATTCGCCTATCCCGTCGCCTTAAAAGGTTGGGGGGACGACATGTTTTTTGCTTTCAAACGCGCCGAGGGGCTGGCACAGAAGTCTCTCACGCACTTGCCTATTCGCCTATCCCCTCGTCTGAAAAGGTTGGGGGGACAGCGTGTTTTTTTGCTTTCAAACGCCCCGAGGGGCTGGCACAGACTTCACTCGTGCACTCACCTATTCACCTAATCCCCTCGCCTCGTAAGGTTGGGGGGGATGGCGTCTTTTTGCCTAGAAGTGCGCCAAGGAGCAGGCATAGAAGTCTCTCGCGCGCTCGCCTATTCGCCTATCCCCTCGCACTAAAAGGTTGGGGGGACAACGTGTTTTTTTGCTTTCAAACGTGCCGAGGGCGTTGACGGTAGTTATCATCCATCATAAAACCATCAACTTAACTTGATTAAATGTATAAATAGGATCATCAACATAGATTTAGGGGTTTAAACTGACAATTTCCACAAGTTTTGGCGAATTTATGTTTTCAGCAGGGTTTATCCAGAAAACTGTCAAGAGGGATCAAATCGTCAAATAAAAACATGCTTATCCGCAGCGAAAACTGCCCCATAAGGTTCTATAAGACTCAGGAAGACACCACATCGAAATGGAGGCCGAGGCGCTAACATGTGGGGCCGGCTGGCCCCACTTTTAAGTCAGCTGACCCCCTGTCCCCACCTGGCAGTCCCTCCTTCGTACGTTGGTTCTCCACCGTCTTAAGGATTGCATCTACGCCGTTCTTTTAAGTTGGTTTGATCCGATGGCTCAGGATTGACGCTTCAGCCTATATAATCAGCCCCTGTCCCCCCTCTAGAGCACGCTACCATAAGTCAAGATCAGACAAAAAATTAGGGTTTCCAGAGAGAAGAGAATATAGCTTCAATTCTTTAAGTTTCTAGTATAGGCTAGCTAGCAAGGTTCAAGTAGAGTGTGGGCTATTGCTCAGGATTCCGGATCAGTCGTCTAGGGACTGGTATAGCCATTGTATCTCTCAATTTATGACTTTGTGCTACTTCAATATTATGTTGCTATTTATTATGTTCCTAGTTTACTTTAGTTATATGCTTGATATAGTTATGATTGATGATGAATTTATGCATATGTTCGCAAAGCTCTTAGCTCAGTACTCGAGTGAGTTAAGTTATCAACACTATATAAGCATAGTGCTTAGATATTATTTGCATGCGGATGCATTCTGCACTCTGGGTCATGTGGTAGATCGTGGATGCGACACTCCCGTTGAGTCCTTTGTAGTCCACTCCCCGTTTGTAGAGCAAGTAGAACGCGGTTGCAAAGGAAGACAAGTTCTATTCTTGATCTTCCTTAGTAATGTTCTTTATACATAGATCCAAAGTTAGTTATACTATAGATGAGAGTGTATATACCTAGGTGTACAAAAGACTTAGTAAATAAGGAATGACTTAGGAATCTTTTGCTCTTAACGAATCTCCTGCTTAGCCGTACTACATTTTATGAGTCTCTATTTCTATCTGTGGAATACCATTATTATCTTACACTTATTATTTATTTATCATTTGACTTACCCCTGCCATAGCATGAGAGTGATTTATCATAAGTATATATATTTGTCAATATCTCTATGCCAACACAACTCCATAGCCCCTCCCTGTGGATAAAATATAAATAATGATACCTAGCATACTCTTAAGTAAAATGCTATAATGGTATATTATCTGTGCGCTTGTGGATACTTTAATATATATATATAATTTTCCTCTAAGTTTTTAAGTGTCATTTATAATTACAAACAACGTATTTTTCTGACATCATGCTAGGAATGACAACTTAGTAAAGAGTGATGCTAAGAAATGTCAACAGAGGGGATGGCACAGAAGTCTCTCGCGCAATCGCCTATTCGTCTAATCCCCTCGCCCCATAAGGTTGGGTGGGTTGGGGGGGGGGGGGGACGCATCTTTTTGCCTAGAAACGCGCCGAGGGGCTGACACAGAAGTCTCACACACTTGCCTATTCGCCTATCCCCACGCCCTAAAAGGTTTGGGGGACGGCGTGTTTTTTTGCTTTCAAATTCGACGAGGGGCTAGCAAAGAAGTCACTCGAGCGCCCATCATTTCGCCATCCCCTTGTCCTAAAAGGTTTGGGGGACGACGTTTTTTTCGCTTTCAAATTCGCTGAGGGGCTAGTAAGGAAGTCACTCGAGCACTCGTCGCTTCGCCCACCCCATCGCCCTAAAAAGTCGGAGGGACGACGTGCCTTTCGCTTAGAGGTATGACGAAGGGTTCACAGTAAATCACACGTAAGGCCAGAAGCGGTCCTCCTAGAAAACAACCAGGCAGCAAAACGCACGAAAGTCAAATCATCACCAGAACGCTCGGAAGAATTTCCACAACAAGCGCGAATGCACCACCACAAATAAAACATCATCCGAACAACAATCTAAACGTTGCCTCTAGCAGGGTGAAAAAAAAATTATATCTACGATTCTCCAAATCCAACGTCATCTCCTCGGCTGGCTCGTCTTTGGGGTCCTTCAAACCAGATGACGATGCCTCTCCACGGTTTCGCCGGGACTGTTCACGACGGGCCCTTTGATCATCCAAAACGGCCGGATCAAAATCCGAATGGAAAAACCTATTAAGGGCCGCTTCCTTCCTAAGCATCCGACGAAATCGCGACCTCAAGAAGCCAGCCATGCAAGAAGTCAGAAATTTTTCGCAAACCACGAAGCACGGGCACCCCATCATAAAAATCGCCGCAGCGAATCATTAACGGATAAACATCCAACAGCGGCGCAGGCCCCGCATCAGGAACCTGCGCACCGAAACCAACATAGTTTAAAAACATGTACATACAACTGTCATCCTCCTACCAAACCAAAACAACGAGTCCTAATTTTCTACCCCTTCTTGGTTGACGTGTTCGCCCGGAGTGCCGATAGCCTCTTCGCCGGGAGTATCGGCAGTTTCCTCGCCGGGTGTACCAGTCGTCCCAGCATCGGGAGTAGATGAGGCATTCACTCCGCTCGAGCCGCTCCCCACTGCTCCTTCCTTAGCATTCCGGTCAGCAATAAACTTCTTCACTTTCGCCATGATGGCAGCACATTCCTCCGGAGTTTGCAGAACATTCCGGCGATTAAGAACATTTTCGCAATACATTACGAAGAAACAATGTCTTCGACAAAGAAACCCACCTTGCCGCAGGTCATGGCGGCTCTGAGAAGAGCAAGGTCCCTTCCGCCCGGACGCCAAAAACCATCAAAGAATCGCTTGGCGGCCTCATGGGCGGAGTCCGGAGCATTCCAATAAGAAAGGGGATCCTTGATCTCAACCCCTCCAACATGGTCGCAGCCGCACTCCGTCAGAGCCTGAGCGAAGGCGCGGAGAGATACCATGGATGCATACTCCCTGCCGATGGCCATGTGATCGCTTAGAGTGGCCAGCTCATCAACCAGCCACCCCATGAAATTAGCGATGGGCGCGTCGCGAGGTAGCTCCGTCTCCTCGTCAACACTCTGGATCATCTCCTTGTAAATTGTGGCCACCTTCTGAGCATCGGCCACAATTTTTCTTCGCTCCTCTTGCTTTCGCTGGCGGTAAGCGTTGAAATCTTCACGCATCTTTTCAATCTGCTCTTCAGTAGTCTTACACGTGGCCTCGTCCTCCTCGGCTTGCTTCTTCGCCGTCTCCAGCTCCCGCTCAAGGGCTCGAATTCGGTCATCTTTATTCGCTAGCTCCCTTTGAAGACCCAGACGATATGTCTGCCCTTGTTGTTTGAGCCCCCGAGCTAGGAGCATGTCCTGCGGCACAACAGACGAAACATCAAGCAACCATCCAAAGAAATTAAGCAAAAAGAACAGGCGAAAGCACAAAAAGCGTAAGAACTTACACTAACGGCGTGAAAGCTTAGAACTTCGGTAAGAGACAAATCATATTCTTTTAGAAGGTCCCTCTCCACCTCCAGAGCGATGAAGGAACCGACACAGGCGTCGGCGAAGTCTACCGCGACCTTGCCGGGCAGCAGGCCAACGGTACGATGATCGACGTTCGCAATCACCCGAGAGCTTGAAGCGGCCCCTGAAGAACGAGCAATACGATAAGTTTCTTCTTTCGCATAGCTGATTTCGCCAGACGAGCTCAACCCCGAGTACACCCGCATCTCGCCATAGTCCTCAGGCCACGAGCGAAGCCGCAATTCCCCATGACCGAACAGCTGCCCGTGAACTAAGCTGTCACTTAACTAAATAGACTCCGCATAGAATCAGGACTTACCCTGCCGTTCGGGGGCGGAAACGTCAGGGGCGGTGGAAACAAGACGGGCAGGAAGGGCCGTTTCCCCGGTAGACTGTTTTGGCCTCTTCATCCCAGCATCCATAGGCGGGTCGGCAACCGTGCGGGAGTTTGTATTATGTTTCCTCCCAAAAAGATCACCCACCGGCATTGTATCAGCCACGCCGAAGGTGTCCGCTACATCAGCAACTTTCCCCCTGCTGCCCATCTCGCCGGAACTACTAGCAGTAGCAGCCCGCAGCACCAAAAAGGTAAACCAAGCATATCAAGTTATCAACAAACAAAATGTAAAGTACTGCCAGCCCAAAACCCAAACGAAAAGACAGATATCAGGAAAAGGCTAATCTACCATCTCGGTCCAGACTTGACCGAAATGCTGAGTCATCTCCCTCCCAATCCTTTTTGCTATTTACCACCATGCCCGCCATCTCCCTCCCAATCCGAACATCGGCAGGCTCAGCAGAACCTCGACCCTGCCCACAGCATTTTCGCTTACACAACCAAGGTTTTTTTTATCGGCCGAAATTCACGAAAATTTCCTTCTATCCACATGGTCCGATAAAATTTGACATCAGTTAAATTTTTCCCTTCTTTCCTACTCCCACACAGACAACCCAAATTCAGCCGTGCGACGGTCCCACATTATAATGTTTTATTCTTGTTTTTATCTGTGAACAAGTGATGTTTAATAGTTTAGAAATAGTTTCAAGTCAAATTCTACGAAATTTTTTCAAAACAATTTGAATTTTTTTTGAATTTGGTCCGATATTTCCGATATATCTTGCTTATCCTATTTATCTATGACCTCCGATAAATTTTTATTTCCGATAATAAAAACCTTGTACACAACTCCAACACAGTAGTGTTCGTTCCCCGCCCTGCAGTTTTCTTCCTCCTTCCACCCCTTCGACCCTGAGCCCCACGACCATCCGAGGCGTCCTCTTCAACGGGTAGGCTCGTCGAAGGGCCTTCTCGATTGACATAACAAAGGCCTATGGCGTCGAATACCTGATTCAAGCGCCTCTTTCCACCCAAACATTGGCACCTTCCCTTGTGTTCCTTATCTCCATACAATCCAATAATCTGTTTGGCCTTGTGCTCTATGTAATTCACAAAGCTGAAATCTGTCGAAAAAGCATCCGAGGGAGCAACGCAACGTCAAGGATCAGGTAAACATATCCATCCCTTTGCTCAAACTCAGAGAACCGTGTCTCGTTGCTCAAAGGAGGGCTGTCGCAGGCAATCCAGTCCTCAACCAAGTCCTAGTTAATTTGCCAATGAGAGGTCAAGCCGAAAGCATCCGTAGCTGCGACATTAGCTTTGCCGCCTATCTGGAACTCCGCTAGACGAAGGCCTTCCATCGGAACCATCTGAGAAACCATAATATGTGCTTTCGGGAGGTCGTTCGCCACCGCTTTAACGACGTCCTCGTCAGAGCACACACGATGATAGAACCAATAGTTCATCCATCGTGGCCACTTGTTGCGATAGGCCGGAACTATGCTCACTGTGCCTCGGGTCTTCTTCGACACAAAATTATAAGACCCATAATGGGCAATCATCTCGGACTTCGTCCTTTTGTCTTTTATCACCTTTTTGTGCATCCGAGTCTCATAATACCGAGCGAAGGTATCAACACTCAGTGTGCACCCGGCCATTTTAAGAGCCATAGCGAAAACCCCCAGTCAGGCGAAGGCGTTCGACGTCAACTGATGGATCTATAGCCTGAAACGTTGCAATATCTCGCCAACAAAATCCTCGCAAGGGAATCGTAGCCCAGCCTCAAAGAAATCGCGAAACACAACGGCTTCGTACGCCTCCGGACTAGGCACCTCCTCTCTCCCGGGAGCTCGACACAAACTGCGAAGCGAAGCCTTGAGCAGCCCGCGCTCCACATATTCGTCAAGTGTTTCATCCGTCACCCGAGATCGGCCTAGCAGGTAGGTGGTGGGCATGAGCTTCGCTGTCCTGGCGCACCAGACGGTGCAGGGCCAGGGGTCTCAGCCTCTTCGCCCTCCTCCAAGATTTCCACATCCGCGTTGGTACCATCGGCTGCCTGATTGGGCGAAAGACCATCACCGCCCATAGCGGCACCCGACGCCAAACCAACACTCCCCTCGCTCAGCAGATCAACCACCACTTTCTTCCCTCGACCAAGTGAACTGGTGCGTGATTCAGAGCTAGAACCGCCAGATGAGCTCCCGTTGGATGAGCTGTCGCCCGACGTCGACTCACTTGACATCTATCCAAATGCAGTACAAACAAAAAGGTCCAAGCAAAAATAGTAAAGAAGAGAAAGAAGAAAAAAAGAAAATAATAAGCCGCACAAGCATGTCCGAAATGAGATAAATAAAAAGAAGAAATAGAACTCAATTGTGTGAACCGTGCGAAGAGTGGAGCCCTGAAGGGCGCGAATAGGAGCCCAACCCAAACTAGGCGAAAGACGAAGGCCGAAGGGGTGTCTTCCACTAGAAATCGGATAAGGAAGGGAGCGCACGGCTCCTAGGGGGGGGGGCGCTTATATAGGCACCAACAGGTGGCTCGCGCCTCGAGGGAGCGTCGCAACGGTTCGCATAACCGTCGCAACGCTTCATTTCCCGCGAAACGTAACCACGACACGCAAACCAAAAAAACAGGAACAGTTAACTGCAAAAAAAAAACAAATAATAAAAAATAGAAAATAAACAATCAGCCAATCAAAAATTGAAACAAGTCAAATTCAAACCAGGACGACTTCCTGGTCCCGCCAAATTTGTCATCCACGCAAAAGGCGGAGGCTTTTTGAGCGATGCCATGGGGCTAATGTTGGGGGCAGCCCACTCTATGGGCATCCCTGGGCTCTGACGCCGTCCCCCAACGTGCAGCCAGCATTTCGCTACGGTGAAATGACAAGAAGTGGGCCGACAGGGAGGACCCGGGGGGGGGGGGACCGTGTTTTCGTCGGACGGTCCGGCCGCCCCCCGTTCGCCCAAAGCCACCATCACTTTGCCGCAACGAAATGTCGTCGCAACTCAGTTACAAGGTCTGCCCTCTTCTCTAGGTCGAAAGGGGCAGACGTGCGGGGCATTGTTTCGCCATGGCAAATAGTGGTCCAAGGAATGCCGCCATAGGAACCACCGCAACGCGCCAAGCCGCGCATGTGCTTTTGGCCCGACGAATAGTTGTTTCGACTCAGTGGGAGCTGCTCAGCGAAGAGTTGGCGGAGGTGACAAAGTGGTCTGGACAATTCGCCCAGGTGGATAGTTAACGCTAGTCCAAATGGCTTATCTTGCAGGTTTTCACTTGGAGAGGAGTTCGCCGGGTGACAAGACGCCGACAGCGCCAGTTCACCGGGGCCGCTCTGTCAGCGGAGCGGCGGCCCAGTGCGGGACTAGGCGGCAACCTGAGGGCCGGCTTTTTCCAGGGCGGGTGACATCCCCAAAAGGCCGAACAAGTCTAGGGTAGGCGAGAATATACCCCGAATATGTAGTGGTTGCAGGGATATTATTGTCCATAAAAAGCCTACGGGCGTGTATAAATAGCCCCCAAGGCTGGGGATTGTAAAGAGGAGAGACTAATGAAATAACAGATGAACTATTTGCATTTCGCTCACTCGACTTCGTTCCGCTATTCGTCCTACTGATTCACTCACGTGATGACCCGGTGTTCAAAGGCTAAGGCCCATAACAACACTATGATTCTAATGTCACCCCTTTTTGGAAATGGGTTATCTGGGAGGCTAAGGCTGCTAAGATAGGTTACAAGTGGATAGTAGGAGACGATAGGAAATTATGTTTTGGGGAAGATTTTTTGGTTTGGTAACTCTAGTCTAGCCATTCAGTTATGGCCTATCTACATTGTTGCTAATGAAGTTAACAAAACCATCTCTAAACTTTGGGATGGGGAGACTCTAAAGCTGACGTTTAGGAGGTCTTTCTCCCCAAAATGATGAATCTATGATTTGATTTAGAAGCTATAGCGGAATCTATTTCCTTTCATGAAGAATGTGATACCATGTGTTGGGAATATGAATCTAGAGGTTCTTGCTCTGTCCAATCTTGCTATGCCATAGTTTCATATAGAGGCATTATATATATACCCCTGTGTACACACTTCCTGTGTGGAAGATCTGTATACCTCCTAGGGTGCGCATTTTTCTTTGGCTCGTAGGTAATAATCGTCTTCTAACTAGAGACAATTTAGCAAAGAGAAGATTGGGAAATGACAGTTCTTTGTTTTGTTCTGAAGTGGAAATAATACATCATATCTTCTTTGATTGCTGTGTAGCCTCTAATATTTGGAAAGTTATATCTCATGTTTGAGCTGTGATTGGAACAAACTATGAATCTGTGGTAAAATGGTGGATTTGTGGCAAGAAATATTTCCTTAGAAATGTTTTTTGTGCAACATTGCTTTGGGTCTTATGGAAAATTCAAAGTACTTTATATTTTTAGGCAGAATATTGGAGGGCTCCTTAGGTTGGTGCTTTCAGCTACAACAAGAACACTAAGAAGATGGCACCCCCTCTTCAAGCAACATGAATGGGAAGAGCTGGAGTTGCACATTAGTGTAGCGGAGTCAAGAACAAGAGAACTATTGAGGATAACTTGGGAGGTGTCACAACGCGTAACAAGCTCAACGAGGACTAAATACCTAACAACGTACTGAGCTGCACTTCCAATAGCTGCAACAAGATCTGATGAGAGGGGCTTAAACCTTTCTTTATATATAGCTTTTCAGGTGGTTAGTAGTTTAGATCTGGACTCTTTTGGCAGGCGCCCTCGAATACGCTGTATTGAATCTTGTTTGGGCTTCATTTCGTGAGGAATAAAGACAAGGAAAACTATTCACTAAAAAATTGCAAGCTTGTATATAAACCAATGAGAAACTCTATAAGAGAACATTTTATGGCGATTATATGTTTAGGCCCGCACGTATCGGTGAACCTTGAGTGAGGGTAGCTCAATGAGGCTTTACTAGAGTTGCTCTTTCGCGCAGCACAATGCCCCTCACAAGCACTTCTCCGGGCGCCGCTCCTTGACGGAGACCACCACCAAGCCGTCTAGGTGGTGGCAACCTCCAAGAGCTACCACCGCCCAACAGGATGCAATCGCACTGCTCACTCACACAATCTCTATCAAGTATGACTCCTCATCTCTCTCAAAAATATCTCCCCACTCCGCTTGCTCATTGCGTGCTTTCACCTCACCGTCCGGTCGTGTTGACCGACCATCCGCCACGCCCCAATTCCCAACGGTCACTTGATGACGCCATCAAGTAGCCATCTCCTCCTTCTCGACCGGACGCGTCGCATGCGTGCCTCCATCCTATGCCGCGTCATCGCCACCTTTCCTTGACCGACGCCAAAGATCCTTCGTGTAGCGTTTTATCTAACTTCATCACCCTTGCTCCAATGTGCTAACCACATCATGCATCATCAAAATAGGCATTCTATTTTCCCGAAAGCCCACCACGAAAGCAAGCCTCGCCGCCCCATCTCTACCTCTCCTCCTTTGTAAATGACCAACACATGTACACCACCATGTGTATGTGTGTTAGCATTTTCACAATCATTTCTTTGCCACTCAACTTGCCACGCCACTCGATCCTAGTGACAATGCAAAGTTAGATCACTTTCGAGTGGCACTAGATGACCGATATGCAAACAAGTTTGCCACCATCTACCTAAACCCGGTCATAAACTTCTCTACACACCTATGATGCCACCCTAGGTGAAGGTTTGCCTTGCGCATTCCATTCCATCTCTTTCAATGTCGATGCAACACATGCACCAACACACGATCAACAATGATATGATCCACTCTCATCACATGATCATATTGGTTCATCGAAGACACCAAGACAGGAAGAAGCGCATCACTGCAAAGCGTATGTTTTAAGTGTTTCTTGTCTTGATATTTCCACCTTGATCACATGACTATGTTGCAAGTGTTACATATAGATGTTGCAAAATCTAGATCAGATGTTGCACATATCGCAATGGTTATACACAATTAGTCCACCTACCAATAAACCAACAAGTTTCAACGCCGTATATACAAGCGTTTATTCAAATGTTTCATTTGTTTTTGAAACGTATGTTGCAAGTGTTTTATTTAGATCCGGATGTTGCATATCTTGTTTTACTTCATTTCGTGATGTTGCAAATGTTGTTTCAAAAATGTTTCATCCATTTTAGATGCATGTTTAGCAAGTGTTTTATCTCAGTATATTGCATATGTTTCACATAGATGTTGCAAAAATATCTCCCCAGTTTGTTTCAAATATTTCATCCGTTTCGCCACGTAGCCATCTATGTTGTAGCAAGGTTTTGTTTTTCATATTTCAAGCATTGAATAGGACTACCCATAGTCACCACAGCGCATCTGTCGCATCCGTGGGCAGGGGTGTGCGCGATGCCACCAGTGAAGGTGTCAGAGCCGACATCGCGGTCCCACCAAGACACGCATGCATGATGTTTGAGATATTTCGGTATGGGGTTACATAGATGTGGTCCCTGCTGCACATATGCAATGGTTATACACGAAGCGTTTATTCAAATGCATTTGTTTTTGAAACGTATGTTGCAAGTCCCTATGTGCAAGATGGTGGTTGCAAATGTTGCATCCATTTTAGCGAGGCATATGAGCGATGCGGGCGTGGGAAACGAGGGAGCGTTGCGATTTAAAAATTTCAAGTGTTAAACTGCAACAACACTTGAGTTTTTTGGCCTGTTCGCTTGGAGGAATTCTGGAGGAATTTGGATGGTTTGGAGGAATACTGGAGGAATTTGTGAGAGAAAAACACTCTTTTTGGGCCTGTTCGCTTGGAGGAATTCTGGAGAAATTTGGATGGTTTGGAGGAATACTGGAGGAATTTGTGAGAGAAAAATATTGTTCCGGATGAAAAAAGAAGCGGATCAAACGGGTTTAAGGACACGCGAACGGGGCCTTTATATATTAGTATAGTATAGAAACTAGACCATATTTGAAACGGACGTATGAAATTAGAATATTAACTGTATATATGCTAGCCAACGGCCAAATAGATTATGATTATGAAGTGCTATACCATCCACCATCTTTCTTTAGCCCCAGCACCTGCTAGGAAAAGCCGTAGAATTTACTGTATTTGGGAAGGGCACGGCCAATAGATTGTGATATCTCCGCAGATGTCCCGTAAGTTGTATTTTTTTCTAGAAACAAAAACTTGTGCCTCATCGCTCATTAAGTCATTATGCGCAGGTGCAACTTCTACCAAGCATGATCAGTCGCTGCCATGGCTTAATTTGGGTGATGGAGTCGTATTAACTGTGTGTGATGCTGCCTCCCAACAACATTGTCACTGTCTTGTCACTGAAAATTAAACGGGTGCAGCAAACTGCAAACGAGTGCCTCCGATCCATATATACGCACACGCATCAGCCCACATTCCCGCAGTCCGCAGAGCCAACAAGGCAAACTACACGGGAGATCTCCGCACACGCCAGCTAGTAGCAGTTGGTAATGGCGGCACAGGAGGAGGCGAAGGCGGCGGCGACACGGCGTCGGAGGAGGGACCACCCACTGCTGCGGTGGTGCAGACGCGAGAGGTACACGCACGGGCTGCACCCGGCGCAGATGGAAGCGCTCCGCGCCATGTGCGGCGCGCTCATCCCGTCCCTGCCGGTGACCGAACGGCTCCACGGCGACAGCGACGACGGCGGCCGCAAGGACCTTGAGCGGTTCTACCTCGCCTCTGCAGCCGACGGTACCATCCCCGAAGAGGTGAGCTACCAGCTCACATCGGCGCGCCGATGCGTGGCCCGTTGGACTGGTATTAAAGTCGTCCGATAATTTATTATGAGAGAAAAATATTATAGATTCTATCTCATAAGTTTATTTGCAAATCATTCAAATCCTGCACGAGTGAGGGAGAGGCCACGTGACCTCTTGTCGTATCGTACCCTGCCCTTTTGTCGTCGCTCCCCGGCTCCCCGCAGTCGCCATGGCTGTTTCACTGTTTGGTTGCTTATTTATTTCTTTGCTTTTTGACGAAATGAAATCAAAGGTCGCGGAGCTGGTCACTCGATGCGTTTGGGAGGCGGTGGTGCTGGTGAACGTCGTGCTCTGGATCCTGAGCACCAAGGTGGGCACGCTGGCTCTCTGTGGGCGACTCTGCATCTCCGGCAAGTTCCCCTACGTCCGCAAGTTCGCCGACATGCCAGTGGAGCGGCGAGAGGAAGCGTTGTCGCAGTGGAGCAAGGCGCGGTGTCTGTTCCCCCTCAAAATCACCTTCGTCGTCATCAAGATCCTCTCGCACTACGCATTCTACACGACGGTATGTTCAGCTTGCCTGGTCCCATGCATTTTCTGCCTTGTATATATAATAATGCTTGAGAAGGTTTGTATATAATCCTTACAAACACATGCACATATATTTACCCTTTGAGCACACCCAGAATAAAGACCTGACAGATCTTGAGAGGTATGTCGTTGTCAACGATACTGTATCATAGTAGTATTTACATTTGTGTCCCTCTGTTTCCTCTAGTTTTTTTACAACAAATAATAATCAACAGAGTAAAAAGATGATTATTATTTTTTATACCAAATTTACTTGGCGGTTAGAATATTTTTCTAATTTACTTGGTGGTTGAAATTTTTTCTTGTCGCTTTGCCAAATTACGTGTGGTCTTAGTTTTCTTGGCAGCCAGCCTCTAAGGAAATCATCCTTGAGTGCCAAAACCATGAAGGAAATCAATTTCCCTTATCCTCTATCCTTGATGTAATTTGCTTAACAGTTTATAGTTAAGTATTATTTCCTTGGCGACTTTTGGCACTCAAGGTAATTCAGGATTTTAGTAGTGTTTGAGGTAAGATGACTGTAAAGCCCTTGGAGGTTCCAAATAGTCAGAAGGACACCCTCAGTAGTTGAGTCAATTTGCTAGCTCATATCAATTTTAAAAAATAAAAATAGAAGAGCCTAACATATTAGTATAGAAAAACGTATAAGCATAAACACATGAAACATAGAAAAATGTTCGAACTTACCTCTTTATGAGGAGCTACCGAGTTGGTTTTTGTAATTCTCTCTCCTTTTCACGGAATAAAATATGCTATGAGCTAGCTATTTTAACTACTGTAGGAGCTGTCTTAAGGTGATGTTAACCCGGAACAAAAATCTACGTACGAATCATATTATCATATTATGAGCATCCACAACGGCAAATATCAAATCGCCACTTGGAAACAATAAACAATAGCACAGCATGGAAAGTTTTTACGGATGGTACTAGAGCTGAGAGAGGGCCTTCTAGAAATCTGTGCGAGCCTTCGGAGTCGCCAGCGCTTTCTTCTCTTTCCTTTCTGGCCAATCAAATCTCAGCTATGCTGAACCATTTAAAAATCAGGCATCGTTTAGTTGCACCAAGTTTACACCTTCAAAAAGTAAAAAGTGCAAGATTTCTCGTCACATCACATCACATCAAATCTTTGATATATGTATGGAGTATTAAATATAGGTAAAAAAATAACTAATTACACAGTTTGCTTTAACTTTGTGAGATGAATCTTTTGAGTCTAATTAGTTAATATTTGGACAATAATTCACAAATACAAACGAAATGTTACAGAAAACTCCTAACTTCCAGAACCCCCAACTTTGGGCAACTAAACAAGCCTTCAATGGGGACGCCCTAAGGCCCTATTCACGTGCTTTTAAATCCGACTTGATCTGTTTTTTTTATCCGAAACAATGCTTTTCTCTTATAGATTCCTCTAATTTCTCCAAATTCGTCTAAACGAATAGGGCCCAGGTACCGCCTTATAAATGAACCAAAACACATCTGTAAAGTTTCGCTATTGAGAACCGGAAACAGTTGGTGAAATTGAGGGATTAAATGTAGACCAGCTCGGTGAGAGGGACGTTTGCTGACTTGTGGAGTGGCTGGGATTCATGCGACGGCACTCTACTGTCGTAGAATAAAGGAGCCTGGCCAGCTACATTCATGTTTGATACGTTGCTGCGGATCGTGCTCAGCTCCCACTTGTTTGGGTTGGTCATGCCTACACATATCCTAAGGCATCGTTTAAATGTTATTAGATTTATCTTAATCCAACTGTGTTCGCTGGATGGGGTGAAATTGAGTTCAAATTCTACTTTAATCTACCCAACCTATATGGATTAATGCGAATTGGACTTACATACAAATAAAACCTAAACGTGCGTCTGGAATCTTAGGATTAGGAGTGTACCTTGGAATAATGGCCCATCGGGAACTTTGGTGCTGTGCATGCAAGGCCTTAAGCTTGGTGCATGCGACGGAAATGTTTGGTAGCTGGGCATTGTCCTGCAATTGCCTGACGGCCAGACAAGAGACAAGCCATTGTTTGTGTTTGCCGGTTGCCACACAGGACAAATCCAACTATTTACCCTAGTACTACCATAGTTGTGTCCCTTTTACTACAATAAGAATTATTGTGTCCTTTAAAATATAACTGTTATTTACAACTGAACACAGTAACAACCCGTGTGCTGTGGATTTATCAAAGAATACTTGTTATAACAAGTATTTGACTGCAAAGAAGTTAGTGACAGGAGGCATCATCAGAAGTTTTCAGATATATTTAATTTACTAAATACTGAATTAATTAAAATAATGGCGTGCCTCTCCTAGGTGCTATTAATTTCAAGCAAAGCAAGAGACCTATCGCCTTCCATAGAAACACTTTTTACCTCGCACGTCATGCCATGGCTTGAACAAATTCTTTTTTTTTTTACGTTGAGCATTCATCTTCCCCCGTGCACGGTCCTCTAGCAGCTTAATATGGAGATCCATCTTTGTAACGAGCATGTCTACCTCCTTAACTGTAGCAGACCGGGATTTCCCAAGAGAAATTCTGATCTTTTTTCCCTCCGTGATAGTCCCAGGATACCTCAGCTATCATGAGCGTCCATATTACAGATGATTACAGAGTCATACAACCTCAGAGTACACAAATAATATATTACAATAATTTAGATATAGCTAGCAACAAGCTGAACACCGTTATTCTTTCGTGGAAGCGAAGCTTGGCGATCTCCTATCCAGAGACAACCTTGAGTGTAGAACGAAATCAACTACTAATCTCAGCATCACTGCAAGTCAAGAAATCTGCACACCGCTAGATTAGTGGAAAATAGAAAATAAAGGGATCTGGCGATCCTAATAGTTTAGCTACGGTTTGCATCCTTAGCGTGTGCAAAAAGCATCAAAAGTAATGTATAAACTTCTCTAATCCCACACCACAATCTCATTCTCACCATCCACTCATCATCATCACGTCATCACTCCTCATCATCACAAGTCATCACTCATCATCCCTCACAACACCCTCAATCTCTTAGTCTAGTCGATGAGGCAGCCTCCGCACGCCCCTCGTCTAATCGGCCTCAAGCCATACCTTAGCTTCAGGGGGAGAAAAGCAAAGCATAAGAGAAGCTAGTGAGCTGAACCCTGCACATAGGTAAGTGATCATATCCGAGGCCGCGGCTATACGTATAGATTTTCCCCCACATGAACACCGTCGACGTATCACCGTCAAACGATGAACACCGCCACCGCAAACTAGGCCGACTAACACCAATCCTACCCACCAGCCGGAGCGAAGATATATAGACGCCACTATATAAGCTGGGATCGTGTCGTTGAGGTAGCACGGAGTAACCTCCGCCCTCCTGACACTAATTGCACAGGGCCACAGACCACGTGCCTACTATCTCTCACAGAGACTGATGGTCGTCTGCACTAGTTTGGGCAACGGGCTGCACCCATGTAAGCATGTGGTGTGCACAAAAATAACCCGTGATTTATGGCTGCAACCTACTCAGTCCTTAATTTGGCCAGAGCGAGCACCTTCCACCAATCCGTGTGCCCTTAAAGCACTAGATTCACCCCACAGAGGTGATCTATCCACCCCCAAACTCCTCATCCCAATGTCCCTCGAGGACCGTCGTCCCTTCAGGACCCGTGTTCCCGCCACAGGAACCACACTAGGTGCACTCCGTACACCCCGACAATCCTGTCACCCTAGCCAGTATCTCTAAAAATCAGGTCAAGGGCAAGGAACTCCTCACTCCACATCACCACCCACTCGGGATTCACCGCTCCCGTCGTGTATCAAACCACACCACATGGGGGTGCCTCGCGGCGAAACCCCATCCACCATCTACATCATCCAAACATCCATCACACATCACATAACAAGGAATATATGTAATTATGATGGAGTAAAATGCAAGCAAGAAGACATGCGTATATAAGTGTGAGCGCAGAGCTGGGTAATCAGGGTTAAGTGGTTTCAATCAAGACAAGCAAGGCTCAGGCAATAGCATGCATCACATATTCTAGCAAGGAATAAATGTAAAGCGCTAGCAGATCTACTTTGCAATGCCTAATAGGATTCTCTAAGTAAAAGGTGCTGCCATGACACCTGCGATGTCGAGATAGTAGTGGTACAAGTCTTCGTCAATCGATGTAGTCGATCGGCACGGACCTCCACTTCTAGGGACAACTCCACTCCACGGGTCCTCCTCCAGAGCTGATGCACATATAACCGATAATCCTATAAGCTACAGATTATCACAAAAAGCCAAAAGAACGAAGAAGAACCAAATTCACTCATACATGGCTGTGGGCTTATGGCTTGACCGAAGCTTTGGTCACTTCAGGGGTTCGATGGGAGGCTAGGGAACATGGTAGGTGCAAGGTGGCTTCGAGTCTAGGCTAGGTGCCATGGTGAGACTAGGTTCAACATGGGCACATGGTTGACGGGCCCCTTATGTTGACGTCAGGTTCTCGTGGCTACAGGGGTTGGACTGCCGAAGTTATGTCAAGCTAGGGTTCAGGTAAAAGCGAGGCGGTCAAGTGGAGGTTTGTCTATGCCAAGGGTTAGGATTAGGTTGGTCCTCGCATTACCACACTCGAAAGCCGAGGTGGTTGCTTAAGCTGCAGGTCAGGGCTCTACTCGGTCATGCTGTGGCTGAGTCATGGTCGCGCATGTGTAGGTTGGTGGTAGGGCATCACGTGCCCAATTGCCATGTTGGCTAGGTTAGTGAGATCATAAGTGAGTACTCGACTACCGCACAACAAGGGCATAGGGCTCGGTTGATAGGCAGCTAAGGGGGTGCTAGGGTTAGGCGCGCATGCTGGCTACTGTGCTTTGCAATGGCAAAGCCCTTTGGCTCATCTCCGACACGCCGGGCTATCGGGACATGTGGGATCAGTGGTGGCATAGCAGTGCTACGGGTATGGCAGCAGTGCGTGCGCTGTGATGGTGCTAAGGTGCGCTAGAGGCTTT